GGGAAATCAGTACTTTAAAAACAGATGTAGAAAATAAAGCAAAGTGTTCAAAGATCCTCGGCTTAGCCGAGAAAAATTATCAGCCATTCCAGAATTCAGAAGACCTCATCTTCAGATTTCTGGGGGGGCAGAGGGAAATAGAGAAATGGCACAACTGATCTAATACCCTTCAGCTCCGCCGAAGTTTGATACTTATGTCAGTTTTTTCACAAGTTGAAAACATCCGAGTACAAACGGCAAAAAGAAGTCTCAGCAGAAATGATTCTCGCTAGCCGAAGTTCTGCACTTAGCAAATATTTGAAAGATCATTCAAAGAAAGCAATAAAGTGCGAAGACTGGTAAAGCGAAGAAAAAAAAAATATACACAAGAAAGCTGAGAAAGTGAACTTCTTTGAAATAAAAGTGTTGAATTACAAAAATAGTCGGCAGCCGCCCACAAGCGGAAAATAACAGCTGCCGAAATACGTACATAAGCAAAAAGTAAAACTGCTGTACGACAAGGCAAGCTGAAGCAAAAAACAAGGCAAAAAACTCAGAAAGCGGCGAGTCTAAAGTTGAGCACATGATGAACCGCAAGATTCTGAAGACGACTGCCCGAGTTCCTATGCTTCAGCCTGAGGATCAGACTGATCAGCTTCATTGGGCCCAATGGTGGTCTCAGCTCCAGCAGCAGAAGAAGCAGGCTTTGCACTCTGCCGAGCCTCCCTTTCCCTCTGCTCAGCCTCCAACTCCATCCTCTCAGCTTCTTCCTCGGCTTCCTCAGCCTTAAGGATTTCAGCTTCGATTGGAGTGGCATACTTCATGTGAGGGTCTTCGGGATCTTGGACCCATTCAGCACATTTGGACCAGTCCAGCTTCGGCTCAGCATGAAGGCAGACCCTTCGGCACACTCTGAACCCGTTTCTAAAACCCATTTCATACTCTTCTTGGGTATAGATACGGACTTTGAGTAGAGCCTCAGCATCGGCCAACTTCTTCTTCGTCTCCTCCAAGTCTTCCTCGGATCTCTTCAGCTCATCGACGAGCTTGGAGGAGGAGCCTTTCAGCTCGGTAAACTCTTGCTGAACCCGGGAAGCCTCGGCCTGAACTTGGACCATTTCTTCCTTCTTGGCAGTGAGCTGATCCTCAGCCTCTTGTAGCTTAGCTCTTTGAGCTTCAGCAGCAGCAGCAGCCCTTGAGAGTTGGACATCCCTAGCTTGGAGCATCTCTTCAGCAGCCATTCTGCTGGCTTCAAGAGATTCTAGCTGATGCTGCACCTCAGCCTGTGCAGCAGCTCCTTGGATTCGGCTCTCGATAGCAGCCTTGAACTTGGAGATGTCCACCCCCAGGTGCTCTTGGAGGAATTTTTCCCCTTCCATCAGTGGGGGAAAAACCTCCATCTCCATAGCATCACAGAAGGTTTTCAGAGCTTCGGCAGCTTTTTTACCGTACTCCTCAACCTCCTGCTGCTTCTCTTCAGCTGCTGCCTGCTTCAGCTTAGCAAGCTTTAGCTCTTCCTCGGCTACCCTTTGATCGTGCTCGGCAGCGTCCACCCTATCTTGTAGGGAATCTATCAGCTCTACAGTGAGAGTCTGATTGTGCACGAACTGAAAACAGGGGCACAAGTTAAAAAAGTAAAAAATAATAGCTGAAAGGTTGAGTTCAGAAAGAAATCAAGGCAAGGAAAATTACCTGCATCATCAGCAGTTGGTTAGACCTGGCTGGGTCAGGAACTGATCTACTGGATTCGCCCATCCCAGCAGTGGCCTTCAGCGACCAGATCCTTGCCCTGTCTACTTCGGACATGCCAGCAAAATTGCCGAAGTAGGCTGCAGCTCCTTCTCGGTTTTGACCCCATATGAGGTCCCAGATGTGATCTGGGATTGGAATTCGGGGGGCCGAGAAACCCATTTCTCCAGAATGCAGAGTCTGGAAAGAAGGGAAGGACGACGATGGAGCTTGATTAGCTTTGGTTGTCTCAGCATCGTCCTTCTCAGAGGAGTCAAGTACTATGACCTCCTCTTCTTCAGGGGTGAGGACGAAAGCCTCAACCTCTCTTGCGATATCTGCCGTGAAGCCTTCAGCACTTGACATCACGGCATCTTTATTTCCGTGCTCAGCAGCACTCTCCTTGATTTCTTCTTGGACCCCTCCCTTAGGTCCGGGAGTTCTCTGATCCACCTCCATCTCAGGAGGTGGTGGAGGGGTCTTTTGAGGAGATTGGGGTGTTGGCTGGGGAACCCTCGGCGATCCATTGCCTTCCTCAGGTTCCCTTATTGCGACGCCGATGGTCATCGGCCTCTGCTGAAAATCATGAGGGCCGATGATGGCCATCCTTCGGCGCCTTTTCAGAAGGGGCTGCTCGTCCATATCTGAGTCTGAAGACTCTTGTATTTGATCTTCGGGACGAACAGGAGCTTTGCCTTCTCTGTGTCTGTTACTCTCTTCAGACTGTAACAGACAGGGGGGAAGAAGAGTGTGAGTAAAAAAAAAAAAAAAAGAAAAAAGAAAAAAGTTGTCTAAAAACTCACCGAGGTCTTCAGCAAAGCCTCGTCTTCTTCAGCTGCTCTAGCTGCAGCTTCGGCTTCAGCAGCTCTGGAGGACCCTTCTCCTCCTTCACAAGCTTCAATAACCCGTGCAACCTCTTCGGCTGTACGGGCAGCTTCAGCTTCTTCTTCCAGCAGCTGAAACAAGGGATCCCTCTTCTTCCACCAAGGCTTCTGCCTCTGATACAGAGCAACAGCCTCAATTTGGAAGTGGGAAGAGTCTAGGTGAACCTCTCGGCGCCTTGGTTCAGTGATAGGGGGAGCCCGATCAGTTACGACTCGTTCTCGGTTGACGCCAAGGCGAGCGTAATCAATGCCGATGTTGGTCTCGTCCCGTTCTGAAAAAGAAAAGGGGAGAAGTCAATTCAGTTAGTTCGGCACATCACAAGAAAGCAAAATGAAAGAAGAAAAGAGATAATTAAAAGGCCTCGGCCCCAGCCGAAGAAGATTACCATCCCTAAACTTTCGGCTGAGGCCGACAGCTGCCAGCATATTCTCTTGGAAAACATAGTGCGTATCGGGGAGCCAAGTCTCCGGGATATGCTGCATTCGGCCGCTGCCTCCCCGGTTCGGCAGCTTGCCGAAGATGTTCTGCTGATTAAGGTTCGGGTCTGGCCCGCTATCTTCGGGAGGACCTAAACTTCCCATATCAGGATCCGGCTCGGCAAGATACCGGGGAGCGCTGAAAACATAAGGATGGCTCGGCTCCGTGGGCGCCCTAACCCAAATCCATTGACCTCTCCAGTCCTTGTCTGAAGAGTCGTTCGGCCACATGGTTAGGAACGGGGGCCGAGACTCAATCCGATACCACCCAGAACCATGGCTTCCGTGCCCACTCTGAATATTTGGCACTAGCCGATGGAGCTTTCTGAAGCAGTGCAGGTTCGGCACGTATCTGAAGAATTTGCAGACCCATAAGTACGTCATTACCCTTCGGATGCTGGTGGGGGTCAGCTGGCACAGGGAAATGTTGTAATGGATCAGCAAGTCTCGGACGAATACGTCCAAAGGGAACCTCAGCCCATACTGAAGCTGTCTCGTGTACACCCCCACATACCCCGGGGGTGGACGATGGATTCTATCGGATGCTGAGGGCATTCGGCACCAATATCCATCAGCTTCAAAAATGCCGTAGTGCAACTCAATTTGCTCAGCAAATCGATATTGATCGGCGTTCTCTACCCACCATGAGTAGGGACGGTTCTTTATCATGGCCGAAGCTACTTCGGCATCCTCCCACTCTGAAAACCCTGGGAGGATATCCCAAAGGACAGCGGGAACTTCATCATCCCGTCCTGAAGCTCTCACCCCCTCAGCCCTCTGAGGAGGAGCCGAAGAAATGGGAGTCGCCCTAACCCCTTCAGCAGGGTCAGACTCTGTCCTTCGTCCATTCCAGGTCCCAATCCTGACCCTGGGATCGGGGATTAGCCTTGCTCTTCTTGGAGCACGGGCTCCACCTCTAACTCCCCTCACCATTGACGAATTTCGAAGGAAAAAGTCGAAAAAGGGGAAAGAGTGCAAAGTCGAAGAAAGATGAAATAAAATCAAAGGAATTTACCTTGATCTGAAGCAAAAGCCGCCGATTTACGAATTGGTAGTGACAAGTCTCAGCTTCTAAGCTTAATGCTCGGGGAATTTGCGAAGTTTTGATGCGGGCTCTTGAGCGTTCTTGAGAATTCTGGGTTTGTGTTGATGAGTGAGTGGGGAGAGAAGACGCGCCTCTATTTATATCTCCAGAAATGGGAATTCAAGGAGTCTGCGTTTCAATTTCTCTCAAGCACCCCACTAAGTAACCGTTAAACACACAACCTTGCAGTTAAATCGCCCACTACCCGTCCAACTTCCGCAATCATCCACATTAACTGTTGTTATCTCATTAATCATGGGTTAATTACGGTTTAAATTCACATTTTTGGATCAGCAAATCATTCACTTCCCTCCTTTTCTGATTAAATCAAACCCGACCCGTCATCCTTCCAAATCGGGTCTGGGGGGCAAGTTGTTTGGGTCCAATTTAGTCCAATTGGGCCTGGTCACTGAATGATCCAATTAAAAGCCCAAGGCAAAGGTTCAACTCTCCAAATATGCTAAAGTCAAAAATCAACATCCTCAAAGCCATGTCAAGGTCAGTCAACGGCCCAATCAGCTTGGCCCAGCCCAACTGATTTCCGGGCCCAATCCGCCTCCTTCATTAGCCAAGGTATAAAAGCCAACAATTTGGTCAATTCTGGGTAAGAAGTAAGACAAAGACAAAGACAAAAAAGCCTCAAGCAACTAAACTCTTGCACAGCTTTCTCTCTCTAATATACTGACTTAAGCATCGGAGGGGCCTTCCTCGGCGTCCCCCCCGAGGCTAGTTTACGTGTATTTGTTGTGCAGGAAACCCTCGGCTCCTGCGTCGTTCGGACCGAGACCAAGTTCCCTCAAGATAAAAGGATCTTCCGAGATCCGATTGTTTTCATCCGAAACAATAATAATAAAATTGCACCAAATTAAATTGGTACATACTTCTACATTATGACAAAATTTTATGATTTTTTTTTTTATTCCCTTTGCAAGTGGTATACCTCAGCCTCTCTAGCTAAGTCATAAGACCTCCCAAGTTTACCCATAACAGCATTCTTAAAATTAATGGCATCTTGTACTTGGGAACATGACCTTTGCATTTTTACACCACTTAGACTATTTCTAGACTCCATCATCTCATTTAAGGACACTTTCTTCTTAGGGTACCCTGCCTCTGGCCTCTGCTTTGGGGCACTTTGGGACCTCACCTTTGCCCTAAATGACTGTGTATTTGCCATGTAATTAGGGTTATGATGGTAATTTCCGTAGTGCCGTAAGAAGTAACTATTGTTATCCCCACATACACTTTTCGACGGGGTCACCGGGCCCGGGTTTGGCCCACCCGTGTTCATGAACCGGGGCGTGCTCTGGGCCGTTGAGAACCGGCATTCGTCCCCCGTTAGGCCCCATTCGGTGTCGTGCCAATGCTGGCAGCACGGGATCGATATCCGGGGCGGGTAGAACGGGTCGAGATCACCGGGTTCGAGCCTAGGCCCGGGGCTGTTATTTGATCTCCACCCTCTCGACGATGATGATCTGGGCCGGCCCGTGTCCACCTCGACTATCTTGGGTATGTCTTCGGATATTGGATTCATGGTCCTGCTTTCAAAGGATGCGGATAGCCTCCTGCTGTGTATTGATGATCCATGCTCACTTCTTGTGTCATCATATATTTCCTTCAAATAATATACACAAAAAAGTTATCATCTAATAAAAAAAATTTAATTGCTAATCAAATTGAACTCATTACCACATCATACACTTTAAAAATTCACCTACCTAAATCTTTTTAGACCTACACAAGATCAACATTGTCTAACAGTCCAAAATAATTTCCAATTAACTAATAATTTGGTGGCCAATTAAATGTGATACATAAATGCCTAAATGACACATTGTACTAAAATGAAAAGTACACTAGCTAATTTAGATATGACTTCAAATGGTCCAAAATTTATATGGACTATAATTAACTTAGAGTGGATTCTCACCAATGGCAAATTTTTTACAAATGTAGACAATTTTATCCCTATCCTTAGTGAGTCCGGACTCAAGACGAGCCTATTATTATTTATATTATAATAACTAGTAAATGGTCCATAATCTAAAGACGGATATTTTCTATAAATTTTCAAAAAATAGTAGACAAAAATAAAATTTCTAATTGATATGAGTTGGGCAAGACGAATTACCAAAGATCTTCGGGCTCTAAAATCGGGTTGAGAAAGACCGGAAAACTCGTGATTCGGATACCGGCCTTGAGCCCGTTTGGACTTTACGGTAGCTTGAGCCCTAATGAGTGCTTGCATACCATGAAGAGTTGCCGTGGCTTGTTTTCTAACCAAATATCCTCTTACTAATGCTTGGATCTTTACTAGTCCTTTCAATGCTCTTAGTGCTTTTCTCGCCTATTCAAATCACAAAACAATTAAAAGATTAGAAATACAATCATAGTTAATTTTAAAAGACAAAACATAAATTCATAATAATAAAAAACTACCCAATACAAATTTCGCAACCAGAGAAAACTTGGAATTTAATAATAGAACAAGTTTTTAATACAACAATTCTTTTCATCCAATATTCCCATGCAATTATATCATGTAATATGCTAGTCATTAAAAACAATAAATTGAAATTTTGAACATATAACTAAATTAAGAAGGTAAGGTTTTGAATGCATAAAATAATTTACGATACTAGTGTACATTTGAATTCTATATGTACTTTTTTTTTTATTAAGAGGAAATATTGATTATACTATCAACCAACTCTTACTAGAAAACAAGACAAAATGAATTTAAAAAAAAAAAACCCAATTCAAAATTTCATAAAAGACATAGAACTAGTTAATTTTTTAATATGTTTTGAAACTATCAAATTCATAACACAAAAGTTCTTAAAAAAAAAAAAAAATTATAGTTCATTCATACTCACAAAAATATGAAGTAAATTCAAACTTTTTGATTGAGCTAATTAACTAATACAATGTACAATATTCATTGTTGTATGACTATTTATTAATGAATCAATTTTATTTTTTTGAAAAAAAATAATAAATTCTTACCAAATATCCACGAAACGTTGCTTGAATTTTCATAGCCGACCATTTCTCAACATTACCACCACCACCGGCACCACTACAACTATCAGAAAACATGGTTCCTCGTCCATGACTCGTAAGACGAACAACTGCGACAGCAGCTTGAGCTGCAGCCACTGCCGCATCGGCTGCTGCGGCAGTGGCTGCAGCAACAGCAATAGCATGTTTACTTTGTTCCTTTTCAGAGTCTTGATAGTAAGACTTTAACCAAGCTGCTTCCGAACTAGTTATATTGGGTGGCACGGTTGCCGGATTATTACACAACCCTTTTTTATTACCGGAATCACGGTTGGACCCACCGAAGCTTGACCTTTTCCGGTCACCGGAATCATAATGGTCATTTGTATTGTATTTACTTGTGTTTGGTTTAATCCCAAATATCCCTTTCAACCATCTAGTAGCTTTTCCCATTATGAAAAAAGAGAGGTTTTGAGGTTTTTTTTTTTTTTTTTTTTGGAGGGATGAGAAATATGGGATTATATTACTTGGAGTTGGGATATAGTTGAAGTAATAAAAAGGAGGAAACAAAAATAAAAATAAAAAAAGGAAAAAGAAAAATGGGTGGAAATTTAGAGGGGTGGAAAAAAATATAATAATTTGAAAATTTGATGTTATATTTTTTGAAAAAAATAGAGAAGAAGTTCAGGCTAGGAGACAAGAAGATACCGCTGGAATATGTAAAATAAGATGCCCACCTCCAAAATTGAGACGTTATAAACCCCAAGGAACATTATATTAGTATAATACTTCATTAGAATTCAGTCAAATGACTTGGGGTTTTGTTTAAAAGTTTTTAAAAAAATAATGTTTAAAAGTTATATATAAAGGAAAGAGTTGTCTTATGAGCTTAATACATTGATTGGGGTATACTAATGAGGGTTGTTAGTAACTCAATAAGTATGTTGTATACACAATTTACATAAGCATTGTTTCAAATTATAAATCAGTTAGGTTGGTCACGTGACTAATGAGGATACTTATAAGATTTTGATCAAGTGGCAACGAATAAAGGACTCTTTACTCGGTCATTGGCCTGAAAATCTCCATATGTAATTTGCTATGTCCTTGTAATTGGTTTGGACAAAATAGAGTGAACAAAGAAGATTTGCCTCTATGATATAGCCTTTACATGAATTTGACATTAATATGATATACAATTACACTGACACACATTATATGAGAGACTTTAATTAATTTAAAGAAAAATTAACAAGAATAATCCCAACTTTGCCTCATTTGTCCAAATAATTCCAACTTTTAATTATATATGAGATCTGCTATATTTATTTTGGAATGATTTTGGCAATGAAAAAATTAAAAGCATTAATTATAGAAAGGTGGAGGGTAAATGCTTGTAACGCATGAAACGCTTGCATTTTGTTTTTGTATTCATCAAAATAAATGAGGAAATCAAGAGGACTTTGAAATGAAAAGAAAAGGGAGGAAATTAGGCAGTCATATGGCATAGGTCCAATATTTGTCAATAGATGCAATAATTCCGTGTCTAAATTTCAATAGAATTTGGTGCATAACTTACGAATGTCATTGACAATAATTTCTCTACTATCTCTTGTCATATATTATCCATTTAGGTGTTTTTCAAACTTCACTTTCCAATTTGCGCCAAAAATGAAGCTCACAATTCTAATTTGCACCAAATATCAACTTCACATTCTAATTAAAAAGACAAAAAATTACTCGCATCTCAATCTGTTGTTTGGAAAATGCTAATGAATTTCCTTAAAGAAACTAAGAGCGAGTACACAAATATGTTATTATGATACACACACGTTGTGAACTTGTGACATGGTACAAACACAAAGCAAGTTTACCCGGGGAGGCAACAAAAATGCATGGATTATTACTCACTTCTAATCCAACGAGTATAGTAAAAGCATTTCAAATACGAGTAGCAATTAACTTTTGTGTACAAAAAGTATTCCATTTATAAACCAAGTAAACACACCTTACTCATACTATATTGAACAATTGTCCCTTAATATTCTACTAAACTACGAAGTATATTTTAAGATGTCGTTTTGTGACGACAATGACCACCATTACCCTTTGCATTAGTAACAAATAAAATTAAACACCTTGTATTTTAAGACATGTAGCTTTACGACTGTAGTTGATCAAAATAAACTAAGTATATTATGTAATTATATACTTGTATAAGATATGATTTTGATTAAAGTGTTATAAAGAGTTTCCACATATAAATGTTGAAACAAAAAAGTAAAAGAGAGGTACAAGATTAAACAGTAAAGAGGGCAGTACAAATGACTAGCAGTAGAAGCAGATATTTTCATGGCGTCTCTCATGTTATTGGGTATTTGCGGGGTACATGTCTTTATAAACTAACATACTTCCAATCTTTCTCCTGCTTCTGACAATCCCGTGATAAATTCTACTTTTCTTCTTTTATCATTTTTACATTTTTGAGAATTTATTCAACAAGTACTCGTACATTTTTGGGTTTTTGATATGATTTAGGGCTTGTGCTCATTTACTCAAGTGACGTGAACTAAACTGAACTAAATTGTTTATGAGATAAGGAAATTAGGAATTAAACTGAAATTAAGCTGAAGATAACAAACCCTTAATTATGATTGAGCAATGCAACGTTACATGCTTTCAATATTCTATAACAATATGTTAATATAGCAATATTAAGATCGAAAGCTTCATCATTCATAAAGTTTCTACCATATTTCACAAGTTATTGATGCCTCAATTCAATCATCTTCAACGAACCCAAAACATTGTCCAGGCACTTAGGCAGGCTAAACATTAGGGTCTGTTCTCATTGACTGAACTCAGCTGAACTGAACTGAACTGAATTTCAACGTATGAGAACATGTCCTTAGTTATAATTTATTTTTAGTACAAATAAGTGTTTTAAGGCGTCAAGAACAAAGATTTAGTAAGTAGTCTAATTATATCATACGATGATACATGTGTATATTTGAACTTGTTTGTCTTTTTAACTGTATAAAATAATTGGTACCACTTATTCAATTCTCCAAAGTAATTGTTGTATTATCATAGAAAAGTGCATTTATAATTGAGTACTGGATTTCTTATACTCATCTTATAATCATTTATAAAAGTTTTCAATGCTGGACTTTATAAGTTGTTGGGCATTGAAGTTAGTTATTATAGATGTAATTTTCTCCCATTATTGAAATAAGCAAACTTTCTAACCATTAATTGACAAAATACATTTGTATCATTGTCATTCTTTCCTTTTCCTACCATAATTTCTACCTAATTATTAGTATTATGTATGGCTATACACAGCCAAACATCCAAGTCAATAAGACAACTATTAAATTCTAGGGGGCAATGTAGCTTTCAAAATCGAACTCATTACGTTATATGTCACCAAGCTAAGCTTAATCATTAAAGCCTCGAGTCCAAAAAGGTGTTAGGTTTTACTCGCATTATGAGCAAGATCAAATCTCATCTATCTCATTGTATTATTATTCCGTATTAGCTTTTGCGTTACCACAACCGTTAAAAGATGACAGGAAACCCCCTGATTAAAGTATATATCATGATGACCTATCTATGCTTCTGCAATGTTATTCTTAATTCTTCTGTTTCAATTTTTTTTAACCCTTATTATTATGACAGAGTACTCTGCCCATAAATTATCACACTTATAATTGTTGGGTTTGAAAATGAAAAGATACTTTATAAGTTTGGTATGTTATTTTCATCAGAATTTAGCACTGTTAAATTATCAGAAAACTCAGAATTATTTTCTTTTTTGCCTTGTTCTTTAATTAATTAACAACTGCTGTCATTGTACATATATTCTGCAGCTCTCTTTTTAATTTCTGTAAACAGAAAAAAAGCTTTAAACATGATGAACAAAAAAGTTTCCCTGTTTTTTTAGTGTAGAATCTACCTTTTTTCTCTGTTCTGATATCAGTTTTTTTTTTTTTTTTTAGTGCTTGGTTTAGATTCTAGGACTGTAGTTTTTGCCAAACACTATTTTTACTGTATTTTTGCTGTGATAATAAATGCAACTCATTTATCTTTTATCCACTATTCCTAGCAACAGCTCAGTCTAGCATAATTGTTTGATGAATTTGCAATTGAGTCGGGCTAATTATCTAACAGTTAGCAACCAACGAGAGACAAATACTATTATAGGTCTTTACTCGACCTCTCTTGTTCGACATAAAAAGTTAACTCTAAATTGATTTGTCTAATGCATATTGTTGCATAACACATATTTGTAAGCCTATTTATCAACAATCATCATCCTCATGGAGTGTAATTTGACCCTACTCTCGAGTATAAGATGGACGTCATCAATGTTCAATATAATAATCAATCGTCACCAAATTTTTCTATTAAATATTTTTTCTAAGAATGTCCTACCAAAATATGCACCCATTACACATACTTAATGTCTGATTCTTCAATAATTTATTTGCCTCCTTTTCATCCAACTATTAAGGCTCCACATTATTTGCTACAACCTGTTTGAAGTTGAACCCACTGTTTATTACTCCCTCATAAATTAAAACATGGAGAACGAGGACTAATATAAATTTAATTTAGTAGGCCATATTGTCAAATTATTAAATAAATGTAACCTCACTAGGTTTATGTGGTCGAGATTCTCCTCCAACACAAGCTCGTCATAGCCTATTCATGCTCAATAAAATTGTACGTAATCTTATATATTAACTCATGCAAGGGAAATCTATGTTGAGGTCATGAAATTTTTTGTTCATTTGACTATTATTTCAAGTAACAGAATCTATATAATGATGATGACAGTAAATATATTCTTGAATCTTGATGAGATTATGTAACAGAAGTAAATCACGGGCGTTTATAAATGGATGAACAAAATTGTAACGAAAATATAGATTTGTTACATTTTCAGTGGTTACGTTGACTTTCTTGTTAATTGACACTCTGATGATCGGTTAGAAGTACTATTTTTGTCAGACTTAACAATCATATGCTTTTTCTTCATCTACTGATGATATACCTAATACCTTCCGTCTTCTTTGAAAAGAATTGTACTCGTATCAATAGAATAGAAACGCCGGGTAATAGGTTAGTCACTCGATTATACATTTGAGTGTACCATGCTTTGATTTTTGTTCATTTTTCTTAAAAGCTTAAAGAGATCCTCAAAATGAACGAGTAATCCAAAAGTAAAATGGAAATTACCTTATAAAAGGTTACCATACATATAATCTTTTTTTTTTTTTAAATTAAATTGTTGTTCATGAATCTTGAGTCGTATTTGTAATGGTAGTATAAATGAAAAAACATTTGTTGAGGGTAAAAAATACCCCGAATACGTGGACCAGTTCCGTAGTGACACGTGACCCAGTTATAAGGTGACACGTGTTACCACGGGAAGATGCCACGCATTCAGCTCAAGAGCGCCCAAAGTTTCAGGCCAATCTCGTGGCGACACGTGGCCTAGTTAGAGGGAGACACGTGTCGTCACGAGAAGATGCCACGTGTTTAGGGCATGTGTTCCCCTTAAATCAGCACGCAAAAGAGGCCTAATAACGTCAGGGCCCAAATCCCGAGAGACATCAGATCAATGAAAGCCGCAAAACGGCGCCTCCAAAGTAACACGTGGCATTCACTGATTGCGCAGCCAATCACGTCACGTAAATCTAGGGTACAAACCCTAGAAAGGGTCACGAGTCCCACCCCTATAAATACCCCAATCATTTATGATGGGGGGGCGGGATTAAGATATTACAAAAAAACAGAGCATTAAATAGCTCCAACTTCTCTCTACTTTCTCTCTCTAGCCTTTTTCGTTCCGATCACTAACTTGATCGTCGG